AGGCTTTTTCTGAAAGCTAATCTTTGACATAAAAACATTTGGCAGAAAGTTCTGTTTACATGCATGTTGAGGATGGTATCGTACAAGTGGATTCCTAAATTCAAATGGAGTTTGATGAGGGTGGGAAATCAGGACAATTTACCTAATTATTATATTATATTATATTATATTATATTATATTATATTATATTATAATCTCTAATTTACATTTACATGAACTGATATATATTTAACATATATTTAAATAAACTGATATATCTTATATCTGATTATACACCAGTTCATTTGAAGGACTATATAAACAATGTACTTCAGTTGGAATTGTTTTAGCATTTCCAGCTGTGTACTTCAACCTATGTAACTCAGGCATGAAGCATTCCAGGACTACAATAGGCTGGTAAGGATACAGAAGGAGGCCGGAAATGATGAGATTTGAAGCTAGGGGAATAAATTCAGCTTTAGGGCAAGTCCCAAAAGAGGGTGGTCAGCTTCTACAATAATAAAGTTCTAGGAGAAAAGATGAACTCTGAGTGCAAGCTGGGAAAGCCTCATTATTCATGGGGCCCAAACTAGAAGAAGATGCAGGACCACAGGATGGGAATGGCAATCCTGGTAATCAGGTGGGTAGTAGAAGCTCCAGGTAGCTCCAAGAGGTCCATATGGCATAAATAAGAACTCCAGCCTATGGCAGGTTGCAGCCTTGGGGAAGCCTACTAAGGGCTAAAAAGAGAAAGAGAATCTCAAACAAGCCAGTTGGGTTTTAGGGTAGGGCTTCAGTCTTAAACTGGAGAGAACAGTAGCAAGCTAAGGTAGAGGCTTGGTCCTCTTGTCATGCAAAACATAGCAAGGGTCCAGAAGGAGGCTGAAGCTCTATAGGCATTGGGAGGCCCATCCCAGGCACCCAGGGCTTAGGACAACAAGATAGATTCTAGACCCAACACAATGAGTGAGGGTAAGGATGAGATTTCCTAATATATCCTAATAAATTTGCTTAGAATTGGCTCAAGAACTGAATTGTCCTGAGTGAAGACTATAAATAAAGATTTTCAATACTTGCAGCTGTGTTTGGGTCAGAAAGGGACTGACACATCACAACATGGTTTAGTTTTATTTGCATCCGTTTTATAACCAAGTAATGTATCTGTTGCATTTTATCTTCGGTATGATGAAATCCCCAAAGAATTGCATTCATATTCTTTTGTCATTATACTACCCAGTATTAATTGGATCATTGTGGGCCTTTATATACATTCATTAACATTACTACCATTGTAATGAAAACTCAATAAAATTGTAATGCTATTCTACAGACATGTTGAGTTGCTATGTCAACATCATTGCAAAACCTAGTGACAAAGTAATAACACTGTAACATTTTGTCTGTAGATTAATAAAATATGTTTTGGTTTTCACCAGATTGGCAATACAAAAAAACCTCAGTTGAAATTTACCCTTGGCTTTATAGTTTTTCAATAGATTCCCACAAATGTCTGCTAAAGTTTTACAGTTTCGTGTTAATTTATGTTCAGCAGTTCATATTAATTTCAATTCAGTCACATGACCAAAATAAATTCTTCTTATCTCTCAAAATTAATTGTACTGTGGTTCACCCATAGCCTCACAACAAGTACCTCACAGAAGGAACATGAAGAAACAGAAGGAATTTTCTAGATATTTTTAAATATATTCTTTGTCAGATCGACTTAGAGGGAAAACATGGTGAAAGCATTATTTGTACTGTACATCTTGCTAAAAGAAAGTTAATAGGTTTGGTAGTGTTGATCTAAAACCATTCCATCATATCTACAAATGTTAAGATTCCCATCTGCAAACAAGTAATTGGTACATACCAGAGGGCTGTACTATTTGTCTCGTCATTAATTGCACATCTCGTCTATGATTAGAGGTGTGATTGTGCCTGATTTTTCAATAAATTAACCAGAACCAGAAAAGGCCATGCAGGTATTCCAGTGTCAGTACTCTCTCCTGCACAGAAGCTCAAGAAGAAACATGGGACTTATTTAAACGCTTGGCCTAACATAATACTTTTACCTCTTTGGCTGCCATCCTTGCTGATGAATTCCAGTCTTCTCTGAATAGCAATTATTTTCTGAAATCACCCTGTCATGTGAGAACACAGACTAGACTACTGGTTCATTCTGAGAGCCATCTTAACCCCAGGCAGGACCTGTATTTGCATCTATTTCTGGAATAACCTCCTCCCTGTACCCAGCATCTTTCTTCTTAAAAATGGTAGAAATTCAAGAAAGCCCACGGATAACCTTTGTGTTGAGGTACAGGACTGACAGCTTCATCGTGGTATATCCATCAGTTTTTAGTGAACCAAGCATTCATGTTTCCTAGCTGGTTTTCTTCAATTATACTATTCAAAAATCATTTCTCATAGACCAGCACTAGAGACTGGAAATACACAGAGGAGTGAGACAAGCCCTCTGACACTTGCAAAGGTGATCTAAGGAAGAACTTGAGAATATGGACTTCTCAGTTTGAATCCTGCTTATGCCATGTCCTAATCCTGTGTGATCTTGCAGGAGTGACTTTGCCTACCCTCCAATGTTTCTCCAGGTGTGAAGTAGTATAGTAGTAACATTACCTACCTGCCAGTTGGTAGGTAGTTTGGAGGTTACTGCATATAAAGTGCTTAGCACAGTCCTGGCTTAGCACAACGTGTTCATTGTTCAATATGTTAGCTATTAGTATTAAGGAGTTCACACTCTCATAGGGAAATAGATCTTATCATTCACATTAAATATAGTACAGTAAAGCCCTCTTATGGAGCTCTGAACAAAATGCCATAGGACCTCCGATGAGAAAGAAAATCATGAATTCATTTATAATCAGTTTCATTGAGGGTTCTTTGCAGTGGTAATCATGGCTGACAGTCATGGGGGGGGAGGTCTCAGAAAAGGTGACATCTAAGCTAGGCCTTGAGGATTGAATTTTCCAGTGGGGAAAAAGGTAGAAGGGGTGTCCAGTGAGCTAGAGCATGAGCAGCTAGCATGAGGAGAGGCATAACAGTCTGCAAATGGGTGGCATGTCCAGGGACCAGTAAGTGGTGTGGAAAGAACACAGAAGCTGCTGCCACAAGGTCAAGTCAGCACCAGGGTTCAGCCACCATGGCAGCACTAGAGAGCAATGTAATCAAATCGATGTTTTACAGAAATAACCCAGCTACTTCCTGGAGGATGCAATACATAAAAGAGAGACTGAAAGCGGGGAGCCTGTTATGACATGGTCATTACAGCCTGAACTGGGGCAGTGACAGCAAGAATGAAATGAGAGGGATTTGGAGAGAGAACAGAAAGCACTTGGTGAGCGACTAGATGTGGGGGGCAGAGGAGTGATTCCGGGATGACTTCGTATTCTAGCATGAAATATGAGAAACAAGAAGAGAAGCAACGTTGGAGAGAAAGATAATGAATTCAGTGCTATAAATATTAAGTTTGGGGTCTCTTTAGGAAGAATATCCAAGTGGGCAGTTTAGAATAAAATTCCGGAGTGCAGGACAGACCCATCTAGGAGGTGGAGGGGGAGGGCAAGAGAAAGAGGAAGTGACACTTAAAAAACAACTTAGGCATATCTGCGCAGCCTAGCTGGTTCTAGGAGACAGAACCGGAACTGAACAGATACCTCTCCAGAATAAACCCCTCTACACCGGCAAACTGGTTCACTCACTGTACCTTAATATGCCTTGTACGTTCACTCCACACCTTCTCTTTCCACCATTCACCACATACTGATTAAACATCTAGTATTTGCCAGGTATTAGTCTAGATTTTGGTGACATACAAGTAAGAAAGTCAAAATCCTGCCATCGGGGAGTTTATGTTTTAGTGCAGGAGATAGTCAGTAAGCAAGTAACCAAATAAATGTAAAATGTAATTTCAAGTAAATAAACACAATAAGGAAAAATAAAGCAGGTAAGAGGTTAGAAAGTTCCGGGGGGTAGGGGAGAGAAAGGGGAATTCTTTGAAATTTGCGGTCTGGGAAGTTACCTCTGCTGAAGGGACATTTTAAACAGAGACCTAAAGTGATGGAGAAAGGCATGTGAGACTCTGGAGAAAGTGTGTTTCAGGCAGAGGGAAGAACAGGTACAAAGTCCCTGAGGTAGGAACCAGTTTAGTATGATTGAGAAACAGCAGGTAGCAGCTTGGCTAGACTAGACCAAATAGCCACAGGGCATCTGGTGACATTTCCGATACTACTGACTGATTTGTTAACTAACGCAGTGGTAAAGATTTTCACAGACTTGTATCCTATCTTCCCAACTCCATGCAAGTCTATTGAGGGCAAGGTCTACTATGTTCAAACTCCATACTCCCAAGGTACCTAGAACAATACCTTGTACATAGTAGGTGGGGTTTTTTTTTTTTTCACTCATTTATCTATCGTTATAAACAGTGGTAACTTCTAGACCTGCCTGTCCCACTCTCAAACACTTCTGGACCTATTCCAGAAGCTGCTAACCATCTGGCAAATCATTGGCGAGCTAGTTCTAGGGCTGTTGTGATCAGTAAGAAACTCAAGTTATGTCCAGATCAACAGAGAAAGCCCAAACCAAGACTTACCCTTGCTGTTTGCAAGCCTGATGGTTTTACTTAGGCTCTAATAGTGAAGACTTGAAATATGGGGAAAATCGGCACATGCTCAGAGAAGCTGTTGGCTTTGCCCCAGTTCTATGCTTAAATATTATAATAATATTATTATTATCCCACAGGGGTGTCATGAGGATTAATGAGACATTTTCTAATTACTTTGAGCTACTCCACTGGGGGGTACTAAATAAATGGTATGTGTTCCTCATGAAGTGCCATTTTTGACATTGATTTGTTGTGATGGGTTCTGCTGTCCAACAGGGCTGGAATTCACCCACCAAATCATTTCTTATAAACAATAGACTAGCTGTCAGAAGGCAATGGTTTTCAGTTAAAATAAATATGAAGTGAAGTGAACTAGTCAGCAATCAGAAGCAAATGGGCTGCTGTTAGAAACCTGATATTTATTAAGCACTCACAGTGATCAACATAAGAGTTTCACAGTGTGGTACAGTAGAGTGAACACTGGATTTGGAAATGGTCCAAGAGTTTAGGCCCAGCTCTGCCACTAAACAGCTGTGTGGGCTTGAACAAATTGCTAAACTTCTCTGGGCCTCAAATCTAAAGTGAAGGCTGTCCTAAGAAGCTCATAATCAGTCTTCCAGACAAGGCAAATATATGAAAGGAATGGAAAGAGTCATTTCTTGAAGGAAAGATACTTCACAGGACCATCCATCAAAGGACCATCCTCTGTTCTGGTCTTCCTTGCCATTGATTAATATTAATTCCAGTACTAATTCCTGCAAATGGAGAAATAAATCACTTTCTAGGTCAGACACAGAAGTGCATGAAATATTTGGTCTTTAAAAATAGGGTCTTTGCCCTTCTATGAGCCAACTTGCAGCAAGCCGTCTTATTCTTAGCTTTAAATATATGAATGATGGATTATACTGCTACCCTAATCACCAGCTCAAACTCAGTGTTCAGTTTTGTGAGAGTGTTTTACATCGTTGTCTACTTTTTCCATCTTACAATATACCATCTGCAGTGCCTGGCACTGACCTAGAGGTAAAGTGAAAGATAAAAGGACAGTAAAGAACCTAAGTGCTGGTTGTATCCAGAAAAGGCCCAGGTGGGATAACTGAGTAATGTACATACTGTGAGCTGCTTCCCCTCACTCTATCCCAGGAATCCCAGTGATGCTGGGTTCAGAAAGGAGAAATGCCTGACACTCCAGAGCAGATAGAAATACAAAGAATCACTTGTTAGGGAATTCAATTCGACAAACATACTGAGCTCCCACTACTTATCAGGCACTTTGGTAGTTTCCAGGTAGATGAATGGAGTAAGACCTGGTTTCTGCCCTAGAGAGCCTTGGTTGCAGTGGTGGTGGGAAGCAGCCACCACAAACCGCAGTTACTTGCCGTCGAATTGTCAGCTAAGGGATGATGGATGAGGGAGTAGTCCAGACAACAGTTCCTCTTTTGCAAATGATTTGAATGATACAGTAGGAAATGCATTATAAAGCCTAGGGTTGTCTCTAAATTGGAGTCGCTAAAATGTCTAGACACAGAAATTGTGTTCAAAATGACCACAGCAATTTGAAGAAACAGTTTAGGTTCAAAGGGGATAAAGTTGCTATCTCCAGGCCCAAATCAAGCAACAGAGATACAAGTTGCCGGCTGAACGTTCTCGAAGTTTCACAACCAGAGCGGGGCAAACCCTACCACGAAGCCAGCAGTGGAACATTGAGGGTCTGGGTGCCAGTCTCGCTCCAGTCCCTCCCACGACAGGCTTCGGACGAGATGTGACTTTCCTTTCTCATTTTCCTCTCATGTTCCCACCGACAGGAAACCTCGCTCTTCTGACGAGACCAGGCTGCCCTCGCCAATCCCAACCAGAAACTCGGTCCTCGATTCTTCCCCCGTGAAATCTCAGCCACGAACGTTTGTGAGAACTATTCGCTACCGAAGCCAAGTCCCTGAATGTCTTTAAGGACCCATCCTCTTCAGACCCCGGGTGCGAAACTCACCAGCACCCATTACTCCGTTGGGCTCCTCATGCACACAGGAGCTAAAGTGTTTAGAGCGCTGCCGGCCTGGAGGTCTTCCAGCCTCAATGGGCTCAGGGTGCCGGCACAAGGCTGGCCTGCTCCCCAGGGCGCCCACCTGGCCGGTCACTCCCTCCCTCGACCAAGCTCCCCGCCCAGAGCGCATCCCCATCCTCCCTCCTCGCCCTCCCCGGCCCCGCTGAGCCCTTCTCCCGGAGCTGGGCCCGGGTGGCGCGTGCAAGGCGAGGCGGCCGCCGCTCGCTGGGCGGCGGGGTGGCCCAGGCCGGGCCAGAAAGCCCCGCTGCTGGGCCGTGGCCTCGCGGGCCGGGAGAGGGGAGGCGCTGACCAGAGGCCGGCGGGGGTCCGGGGGCCTGATTCCCTGAGGGCCGCCTCGGCCGGGCGGGTATCGCGGGGGACGCCGAGGTGCAAAGCGAGGGCGCTTGGGCGGCCCAAAGGGGCGAGGCGGCGGGCAGCGGGCAGCAAGGGGCCCGGCAGGGCGGCACGCGGGAGCGGGGGGAGCGGGGCGCGCACCCGCGCGGTGGGCGGGCATCCTGAGGGGCCGGGGGGGGGGGGGCGGGCGCGCGCCCCAGGGGGGGGGGGGGGGGGAGCGCGGAGGCGGGCGAGGAGGCGGCTCCCCGGAGGAGCGCGGCGGACCGCGCCAGATCCACACAGAGCCTCGCGGCGGCAGCGCCGGCGGCGACGGCGGCGGCGGCGGCGGCGGCGGCGGCGGCGGCGGCAGCAACAGGCGGCGGGCCCGACTCGGGAGGAGAGGGGGGCGGAGGCGGCGGAGGCGGCGGAGGGGCGGGGAGCGCGAGGAGGAGCGACGCGGCCCGCGCCGCCGCCTCTTCCCGCCGCATGGACGAGCACCTCAGCCTGCTGCGCTCGCCGCCGCCGCCCTCCGCCCGCCACCGCGCCCACCCTCTCCAGCGCCCCGCGAGCGGCGGCGGCGCCCACACCCTGGTGAACCCCGGCTACGCCGAGCCCGCCGCAGGCCCAGCGCTGCCGCCCGACATGACGGTGGTGCCCGGGGACCACCTGCTGGAGCCGGAGGCGGCCGACGGCGGCGGGGGCCCGCCTCAGGGCGGCTGTGGCGGCGGCGGCGGCGGCTGCGACCGCGACCGCTACGAGCCGCTGCCGCCCGCGCTGCCGGCCGCCGGCGAGCAGGACTGCTGCGGGGAGCGCGTGGTCATCAACATCTCGGGGCTGCGCTTCGAGACGCAGCTCAAGACCCTCTGCCAGTTCCCGGAGACGCTGCTGGGCGACCCCAAGCGGCGCATGAGGTACTTCGACCCGCTCCGCAACGAGTACTTCTTCGACCGCAACCGGCCCAGCTTCGACGCCATCCTCTACTACTACCAGTCGGGCGGCCGCATCCGGCGGCCGGTCAACGTGCCCATCGACATCTTCTCCGAGGAGATCCGCTTCTACCAGCTGGGCGAGGAGGCCATGGAGAAGTTCCGCGAGGACGAGGGCTTCCTGCGGGAGGAGGAGCGGCCCCTGCCCCGCCGCGACTTCCAGCGCCAGGTGTGGCTGCTCTTCGAGTACCCGGAGAGCTCCGGGCCGGCCCGGGGCATCGCCATCGTGTCCGTGCTGGTCATTCTCATCTCCATTGTCATCTTCTGCCTGGAGACGCTTCCCGAGTTCCGCGACGAGAAGGACTACCCCGCCGCGTCGTCTCAGGAGCAGTTCGAGGCGGCCAGCAACAGCACGTCGGGGGCCCCCGCCGGAGCCTCCAGCTTCTCGGATCCCTTCTTCGTGGTGGAGACTCTGTGCATCATCTGGTTCTCCTTTGAGCTGCTCGTGCGGTTCTTCGCTTGCCCCAGCAAAGCCACCTTCTCGCGAAATATCATGAACCTGATAGACATCGTGGCCATCATCCCTTATTTCATCACTCTGGGCACCGAGCTGGCTGAGCGACAGGGCAACGGACAGCAGGCCATGTCCCTGGCCATCCTGAGGGTCATCCGGCTGGTGCGGGTCTTCCGCATCTTCAAGCTCTCCCGGCACTCCAAGGGGCTGCAGATCCTGGGCCAGACGCTGAAGGCTTCCATGCGGGAGCTGGGGCTGCTTATCTTCTTCCTCTTCATTGGGGTCATCCTTTTCTCCAGCGCGGTCTACTTTGCCGAGGCAGACGACCCCACTTCGGGTTTTAGCAGTATCCCGGATGCCTTCTGGTGGGCAGTGGTAACCATGACAACAGTAGGTTATGGTGACATGCACCCGGTGACCATAGGGGGCAAGATTGTGGGGTCGCTCTGTGCCATCGCTGGTGTCTTGACCATTGCTTTGCCAGTCCCCGTGATTGTTTCCAACTTCAATTACTTCTACCACCGGGAGACAGAAGGGGAAGAGCAAGCCCAGTACATGCACGTGGGAAGTTGCCAGCACCTCTCCTCTTCGGCCGAGGAGCTCCGAAAAGCAAGGAGTAACTCCACTCTGAGTAAGTCGGAGTATATGGTGATCGAAGAGGGGGGCATGAACCATAGCGCTTTCCCCCAGACCCCTTTCAAAACGGGCAATTCCACTGCCACCTGCACCACGAACAATAATCCCAACTCCTGTGTCAACATCAAAAAGATATTTACTGACGTTTAATATATGCTGTAAGTGACAGGCTGTGCTCAGTACTGTGTGGAACGTGCCCCCTTGGTCTGTGTATGCCCTTGTTTTATACATTTCCAGACCATTCATCAAGGAAAGGACGTGAAGAAGTGGAAAGCACACTTCATTTTCCCTCTCCCTACTGCTTCATACTGAAACAGGTGTCTGTTTTGCAAGTGGGCTGCATTCTCTCAGCTCCATTTTTTTCTCCCCCCCCCTTCTCTAATATCATAAGGAACAAACTTACTTTAAACTTCATTTCTAGTACACACCCTCTTAAAAAAAAAAAAAGTACATCCTGGGAGGAAATGAAACTAAAGAACAGTTAGAATAACTGCCTAACCTCAGTATGGAAAGTTGTTTCTTTACTAAGTAAAGAGGCACATACTTAAAGGATGCTTCCGTTTACTGGACCTTTTAACGTTATTGAATATTTAGTTCAGTCGTCTTCATTGTGGATGCGTGGATGAGAAGTCTAATTAGAACAATGACTTGTAAACCCACCATAAGTTTATTTGGTTTTTGACTGGAATTTCTATTTGGAACACCTCCTGGAATTTTAAAGACTTCTACAACTTTGAACAAAGGGAAATGCCCGAGGTGTCCTGATCTAATTAGTTGAACTCTTTGGGGCTTGGTAAGCATTTCGAAACGGGGGTAGACAGGCAGATTCCTCTGAAGTTCTGTGTGTGCGTTCCAGGCAACATCTTATCAAAGTGTAGAAACAGATGTTTTCAGTGCTGCTGAGAAAAACAAACAGAATTCCTAATGCGTCTGCGAGATAAGCTTCTGCAGTATCAAAAGAAGATTAAAGTGGCAGACACTCCTTGCAGCGGAAGTTACTAATTCGGACCTGACTGATGCAGTTCCCATAGCAACCCATGTTTCCTGGGAAACCCGAAAAAGGTTGTCATGGCATCTCTTGCTCTCTAGCCCCACCCCCTAGCCCCTGCCGTTTCCACAGTAACCTTTCCAGATGGTTCCTCCTTACAGGATTTCATAAGGAAAATCACTATTTGAATAAACCGCACAAATAAGGTTACGTCTGAGAATCTGAGGTGGTGAACTGAATCACAAACAATGCATTTTTTTTTTTACTACAGAAAATCATTGATATCTCATAATGACTGAATTGGAAAGGAAAATATTGCCTTTGGAATGTTAGATATATACTCCAATGAGGCATGATTTGAATTGGATGCCAATAATTAGGCAATAACTTAAAAGGATAATGTTTTCTTCCTCCAAGAAGTTTCAAGCCAGCAAGTGAAATTTAAAAGCAAATGTAAAAGTGTTCTGTACATAAGCAAATGAAAGATTCAATCGGTGTACCTGAAACCGTACTACAAGGGACCTTCAGACTTCCTCTTCAAAAAAATTCCAGAATCCGACAACAGCACTTGAAAAGCTAAATAAACTTTAAAAATATAAAGGATGTGTGTTTTTTAACTGAGGGAATTGCAGACAATCAATAAAAAGGAGGGACGGGAAGTAACCATATCTTGGGAAAATACCTGCAAGTTTCAGCCATATACAAAGGGTTGCCAGAAGACAAACGGAATCAGGTGAGCACTGTGTGGGGGTATTGAGAGCTCTCCCTCTTTGGACCGAGAACCAGGGAAACGCTGTTCCTGTCTAGATTGGCAATGCTTGCAAAACCAATAGTTTCATATTAGTTACATGCAAGTGCCTTTTAAAGATCACTTACAACATCTTTTCCATTTGATTTCCCTGTTGTTAACTGTCCTTTGGTTTCTACTGTTTATGGCAAAAGGGTGGGTGGGTCGGGGGAGTCATTGCTCTTTAGAATAACCTTCACCCAAACTGAACTGAAAATGATTCCATTCCTTTTACTAACCCTCTTGGCTTCTGAACAACCTGTTTCCCCTTAAAAAAAAAAAAAAGGATAAAAGGCAGAACCTACTGCTATTAGATTATTGGCCCAGTTTTAATTTACATAATTAGTAATATGCAGTAGTACAGTTGTTTTAAACAAAAATGGTTAAGCTTACAACAAGGGTAACACTATATTTTAACAAAATCATTTTATTTTATATACATTGTAGGTATTATACTATATTTTCCACAGTTATACATTGTGCACAGTTGTTTTTTTTTATTTTGATACAGTATAACTATTCTGTCCTAAAGTAAATGAGAGTAAGCTTAATTCTAAAACCCATAATGTTTTTTCAGGTAATCAGAAGCCTACTTAATTATTTGTGTAGTTAAAAAGAATGGTGAAGACTTATAGAGGGGGAAGAGGAAGGAAAAGACAAAAAATTAATAGAGGCATGAAATCCATATACCTGGTCATGGGGTCACTGCTTTTATCTCCATGTGCGTCAAAATAGGACTCCTTTATCTAGTGTCCTTTGCTACTTGTTTGAGTTACTTTTACCATCGATCTACCTTTTGACCAAATTCTTGGTATTCCTAATGACCAGACATTTTTTTGTGACCCATTTTGGTGGTAATATGTTAGACACACTATAGTAATAACATTAAGAATAATTTTCGTGTCTGTTCTTATCTGTTCTTTTGTATATGATCTTGACGTGAAGATGAACAGAGTGCAGTGACACTTTTATTCACTTTTATTTAGAAGATATAGAAACCCTGTTGTTTCTATAAATAAATTATGGTTGTGCCATAATTTTTAGAATTGTGTTGTCATTAATAGTAATATGGAGACTTTTTTTTTTCGATCCAGAGACATACAACTTTTTGAGTCATCACTTTGAGGTAGTATACTTGTCTCCAGTTGCCAAATTATAAGCTCCTTAAAGGTTGTAGGTTCTGTATTTTGACAAATACAGATTTTGGACTCTAGTGCCTCGCACAAAATGTAGCACTTTGTATGTATTCAATGCATATTTGATGCGTGAATGGCTGTAATCTTAATGTTATTTTCAGGTTTTTAATGGAGTGATTTGAAGCGTAAGCTCTGCAGTCATACTGCCAGGATTTGAATACTGACTCTGCTCTATGAGCAGATTACTTAACCTCTCTGTGCCTTAGTTTCCTTATTGGTGAAATGAGGATAACAAATAGTACCTCACAGAGTTCTTGTGAATATTGAATGTTGATACAGGTATAATACTTAGGAAAAATACTTGCATGGCATGCAGCAGAGATTTTGCTGAGACAGTACATTATTATTGTGATCATTACTTACAAGCATTATATCATTAACACTGAGCTTTGTGAATGATATGAAATATATAAGCAATCAGTGTCTTCCCATGTCCTTTCTGTGTGTCTATAATAATTACCATGTAATTACCATGTCCTGGACACTTCTCAACTCTGCAAGGTAAGTGGTATTCACCCCACTTTATTTTTTTTTAAATATTTTATTTATTTGAGAGAGAGAGAGAATGAGAGACAGAGAGCACGAGAGGGAAGAGGGTCAGAGGGAGAAGCAGACTCCCTGCTGAGCAGGGAGCCCGATGCGGGACTCGATCCCGGGACTCCAGGATCATGACCTGAGCCGAAGGCAGTCGCTTAACCGACTGAGCCACCCAGGCGCCCCTCACCCCACTTTAGGAGGGTAAAAAATAGATAGTTATGGTTAAGTGATTTCCCGAAGACTTCACAGCGAGCAAGAAACCCAGCTATGATTTAAAGCCATGTCATTCTGGCCCCCAAACCCCTCTTCCTTTTATTGGGTGACTTGAAAGAGATTGAAAAAATAAATCTCTTTGGCTTTAAGGTTTGACTTCAGCCCATGTCACTAATTAATAAATTCATAAATATATCTCCAGAAACCTATCTTATGCAGTATATTGAGAATTAACCCTTTCCTAATCATCAGAGATTTTTAACCATAGGGATCAAATATAAGGTATTTAAATTGAACAAAGAGATCGACTTTTCTAGTAATAAAAGATTATTTTCCTATATGATTGATTTGTCTGCATTTAATATTATACTCAGAAAGCATAATCAGTCACAATAGTAATACCTGCTAGGACAATAGATATTTTTCAGTTTTAAGATTAATTTCCTATTTCCATGTGTTTAATCTACAGTAGATGATAGTATTATGCAAATTGTTATTTTTCCATCTGCTTATACTTTGCTTAGGTTACTGAAGAACCATGCCAGCAAGTAGCGTAAATATTTTGACTCTCCCTTGTTAAGAAAGGAGAAATTACTTAGAACAAAAGGATTGAAAGCAGAAGGAGATTGCCAGCTCATTGAAATTTGTGACATTAGTGCCTTACCCAGTTACTCCATGGATCTTTAAGAGCATCTGTGCTCAAAAACACATTAGAATATAATTTTGTCCCTCATAATAGCTGTAGCCCCTTCTCTAAGGTCCTAAATCATTCAGAAAAAGAAAATGGATAGTGATTTGGACTTACAGCAAAATGCAAAGGGTCTAAGTTTACACATATCATTTAGCTTGGCCAAAACAAAGACTTCACTGTTGAGCTCAACTGCACATCTTGGATGTTGAAAGGTATGCATATGTCTGTGTGTACAAAAGATTCATGGGAGGAGGTGTGACTGGATCGGGGCACGTCTATCAACACCCTGGAAAAAATGTATATACCCTATAGCTGGTGAATCCAGAAATGAAAATAACATTGTCATTTATTTCTTTTATGCTGCTTTCAACTGATAGTATACCAAATTTTAGTACCCACCAACTATGGTGACATAATCACAAACAGCTACACATAAGAGGCAGCATTATATCAGTTATTTCTAAATTTTAAGACAAAATTTCTGGGATTGAAATTTTAAATGCAGAATATGAAGAAATTTAAAGTTATGGTTTGTTTACACAAAATTTGTTTTTACCTCTTTGGCATAAAACGTACTCAAGCAACTGCTCTGGTGATAGTATATAAATTCGGTATATATAATACCAATAGTTTTTTCCTTTAAGAACCATAACTATAATTTAATGACTTCCATACATTTAAAATTTCAACATTTTCTACAGCAGTTCCAAGTCCTTCCCACCTCTCAGCTGTGAATAGAAGTGATAACCCCTCCCACCAAGAAATGCAAAGAAGCACAAGTGCCCCCCCCCCCGCCCCCCAGTCTGAAGACTTACAGAAACACTGTGAGATGGAGGTGAGGAACGTAAGAATGGGGCAGAGGATATTTAGGGCTTGCATTTTAGGGTGGGGCTTTCTGTCTTTTATTTCACCTTTTAAACAGAGGATAAGACTATTATTTCCGTGCTACTAATTTTCTGTATTTCGTTTGACAATTTTATATATTAATGAAGTCACTTGTTTTCTATAACTTGCAGGGAATGGTTAAAAACCTTTGAAAGAGGGCAAATCAGGGGAGGCAGGAAGAAGGAAGGGAAGCCATGCAGAGCCCAAACTGTGTGCTATCATGACTCAGCTCCTAACCTCCTGCCAGAAAATGGCCATTGCTATAGAGTGTATGATAATTATATTCTTTATATGCTCACATTCACCTTGCAAATTTAATTTAAATGATTCAGAGGTTAGAAAGTTTTCAAATATGTGTCTTTTCTTCAGTGATGCTGTAAATTAATTTTGTCTTTGGAATTATAAAGAAAAAAACATTTTACAAAGAAACATTTTCATGGTTTTTCTCTCCCCCTCCTCCTTTTTTGTAGTGAATGTCTTTTTCCTTACATTTCAAATTGTGCACCATTAACTATCAAATACATTAAAGAGCAGATCTGGAAAAGCGGCTCCATCATTTTCTTGGAAGCCATTTTATTATTGTTGCAATCTAAATAGTGCAGAATACGAGCTCCAGCCTGAAAAGTAAATCCTGGGATTCTGGTTGTTAGTAAGATAGCATTAAATGAATGAAAAATGATGTTTCATTGTATCTGAAGAACATTAAGAATAAATTTGTACATGCAGGGCTCTGACTTTGCAGATACAGGGATCATACCCCCAGCCTGGTGGTAAAGAGTGGAGAGTAGCTGCTTCTTTTCCAGTGAGCCCCCAACATCACCCCCACCCCTTTCATCAGAGCACAAAGGCTCTTGGGAATCTTTATTGAGATTCCCACTAACTTTTTAGAATGAAAGCTAGCATTGCACTTACGTGTAATATGTCAATCAGCACTTCTATTTCACTGGTTTTTTGTTAAGTGTATTTTAAACTCCTGTTCGTTATGGAAATTTTCTCTGAATCCGAAGGTTCTTATTTTTATACATTTAAACATGTTCCTTAAATTAAAACATGTGATTTAATTTGGAAGAGAAGCCAGTGAGGGTAATTTGTTACACACACACACACACACACACACACACACACCCCTCACCTGTTATTTTCTATCCTAGGATATATTTACTTTCTGTCTACAAATCTAAACAGTCTAAAATTGGTGAATTTCCAAAATATGTGTTTTCATTCATACGTGCTGCATAGACATTTACAAAGCATTTTTATTTTTTCATAGCCTTGCTTAAAAGGCAGATTTATTGCCTACTGTTCTCAGTGTATTTATTAATGTAATAGTAGATTCATAAAAGTAGTAAATACATCCAATGTATCACTGAGCTTAGTCATTTCACCTCCTAAATATCCTTAAAAATAATCTACTTTTCAACATCACTGTCATCACCACTTTAATCCAGACTACTATCATCTCTATCCAAAATAATTAACTGGCCTCACTATATAGTTCCTATGGCCAATCTGACCCATTCTCCACCTGATAGCCAAAAGCATCATTTTGAGACTCAAATCTAGTTACATCACCTGTCCCTGCTTAAAATTCTTTTAAGGTCTTTTCCTTTTTTTTAGGATAGAGACCCAAAGGCTTAACACAGATTTCATGGCCCTACATGATCTGTCTCGCCCCTGATCTTCTAGTTAGGGGTTAAGCTGCCTTTCCCTCTTAATCTATGGGGGATCCTTGCAGATGTTCCCACTGCCAGCCCCCTCTTCACTTCATTACCTTCTATTTTTACTTCAGTATTCCCTCCAGGATATCTCTCATGACTCTGGTTTTATCAATCCCCCTCTTATGGTACATTTCTTCAAATTTCAGGAGACTTCCATTATAAGGACACCATTATCTATGTGTCATTGAGAAAAGAAGAGCTGCCAATTTTAAGGGAAAGTACCAGGGATTTTAAGGTACATCCCCATTTCATAGATACTCAAATCTGAAAAAGTTTGTCTTAGAGTTGAACTGATTATAGTATGTGCACTTGACATGGCTGTCATTTTATATTTATTTGTGTTGTATGATTAATGTCTATCTCTTCTATGAGAGTAGAGCCTGTATCACTCTTTGTTCATCATTGAATCCCCTTCCCATTTTCTCCCAAATCTGCTCCAGACTTTCACCCCTGTCACTTCACCAGTAGTATATTTTCAAGGTCACTGGTGACCTCCTGTCGCTAACCCCAGTGGTCATTTCTCAGTGTTCACTCCATTTGACCCATCAGAAGCATTTGGTGCTGTGGAATACTTCCTCCCTCCTGGGAAGAAGTTCTTCATTTGACTTAAGGGCATGACACTCTGTATTTTCTTACTACCTCTCTGGTCTCTCCTTCTCAATCTCTTTTACTGGGTCCTTCTCATCGCCCCTGAGTCTTAATATTTGAGAGCCCCCTGGGCTGCAGCTTAGTCCTTAGACCTCTTTTCTTTTTACATGAGGTCTTACTCTCATAGCTTTAGACTGTCTATATGTAAATTTCTCTTTCCTACGTGGACCTCTCCCCTGAACTTCAGGTTGAATTCCTAGCTACCTATTTGACATCTCTACTTGTATATCAGATGGATATGTCAAACTTAGTATGTCCAAAATTGAGCTTCCCTCTCCTCCCCCACCCTCGCCACCAAACCTATGTCTCTTGCCCCTTTCCCCCTTTCTATCACTATAACTTAAACTTTCCAGTTGCTCAAGCTAAAATCCTTGGAATAATCCTAGATTCCTCTCTTTCTGTCATACCCCTTATCCAGGCTATTGGCAAATCCTGTTGGCTCCACTCTTAAAATGTTTCCAGTCTTACTTCTGCAGCCACTCGTTCCAAGCCATCATTCTCTCTCACCTGGATTTTTACAGTACCCTCCTGACTGGTCCCCCAGCTTCCATCCTTTGCCCTGCTTGAGTCTGTTCTCAATATAGCAGCCAGAGAAAACCCTTTAAAACACTTGCCAGGTCATGTCACTTCTTTGCAGCAAAACCCCTATTTGGCTCTCCATGTCACACAGGCTACACACTGAAGGCCTCACATGGCCTGCAAGGCCCTACCTAGTCTTCCTTGCCTTACCCTTCTGACAGAACCCCTTTCTGACTCCTCTCCCATTTGGCCCTGTACGGCAGCTATGCCAGCCTCCTTGCTCTTCCTCAGGTAGACCAAGCATGCGCTCCCTCAGGGCTTTGCACTTGCCGGTCTACCCGCCTGGAATGCTCTAACATCTGATATCTGCTCAGCCTGCCCCATCACCTCCTTAGCTGTCACCATGAAGCCTTCCCTGGTCACTCTGTTTAAACGTGCAGCCCGCACAGCACTCTCCTTTATCCTGTCTCTGCTTTGTTTTCTCCTCTAACGAGATATTTTACTTACTTTGTTTATTGTCCATCTTCCTTTCCCTTCCATGAGAATGAAGAATTTTTGTCTGCTCATTGCTACTGTATGCCTCAAGACTTGGAATCAAGTTGGTGCTTCGTATTTGTTCAAGGAAGGGATGAGAGGAAGGAAATTCCAATTTGAGTGTTTTTAAACTATAAGCAAAATTTTCATGTTGTGTATCTGCTTCATTCCATCACTGTGAGGCTTATACTCCTCATCATGTTCTTAGGGATAAAATTTCTTGTACCTGGTTCACTGGAGAAGGCTTCCACTTGGTAAAACATGCTCCAGCAGGTTTTCCCCCACAAAGTACTATCTAATTATGGGGGTGGAATTCCTTAACATAAATAATTTAAATATAACATTATATATCACTCCTAATCACCATGGCTACCTGGAGTTGGAATGCTTCACAGAGACTGTTTCCTACCTAGCAGTTAATAAAGCACTATTTGTAAATAATACTATACACTTGTTGACTGGCTGGCTTACATAGTACAGCAAAAATCAGAACAAATAAGTGCTATCTCCAGGAATTTACCTATCTAGCAGACATTCTAAGAAACTTTGCTATAAGTTCAGTCTTGGTTTTAGTTAATGGTGAATCCTAAAATATCCATGGGGTTTTCCTTACTATGGAAGCTGATTGAATAAGGCATTAGATATTTCACCAGTGAATCACCTTAAAGAATTACATTACTATAGATATGGCCTTACCCAATAAAATAATTTCTTTTATAAAATAACTTAATTTTTTAAAAGATTTTATTTATTTGAGAGAGAACACGAGCGGGATGAGGGGAGGGCAGAGGGAGAGGGAGAAGCAGACTCCGGCTGAGCATCAGGGAGCCCAGTAGAGGGGAGGGGGGGGGCTGGATCCCAGAACACTGAGATCAGAACCTGAGCTGAAGGCAGCTGCTTAACCAACTGAGCCACCCAGGCACCCTCAAGCTCATTTTCCCATGACTTTCTAGATTTTTGACAAAGCTCAGATCTTAGCACATTACCAACTTTAATTACTGAGTGAATTTAAACTTCTTTTGCTTGCCAAGAGTACATAATTTCCTAGAGGCCAGTTAGAGAATCATACATAATTTAACGAGAAATTTTTCTAGTCCTTGGGCTAATTCATTACCATTTCGTTGGCAGAAATTATAGAGCTTGTTGGTGTGCAGTCAACTCTAAGTTGTTTAATAGATGTCAAAGTATAGACACATCAAAACAAAGTTCCCATAAAATTCCGTGTTGTGGGATGGTTGTAACCCCTTTTCTCATCAAATACAAAGTTAAGTAAGCTGGGTTTCTGTACCTCTTTTGTTTCGGCTTTGGTGGAGGTATTACTTCTTCACAAGCTTAATAATTATAGAAATTTGACCGTCCTTCTCCTTTCTTCTTCCTTCATATGTTAGAACATTTATTTGGTCAAATATCTTCAATGATAGGTCTCACCATTTTCTATTACACTTCCTCTCTCTGTTTTTGTAGAGTTGATTTTGATACTTAAGTCAATGTCCTTTCTTCTAAGCCCTTTAGCCTTTTCTCATTGAATGTACTGTAACTAATGTAAACATTATGATTACCATTCAAATGTCACTTTGATTTCTTGTTTCTGTTAAATTGCAGCTCCCTCTACACCTACAGTCCATTAGGATGCCAAGCTATACCATACTTATTTAATAATCCCAAGAGCCTTGAGGCAGGTACTGACACATGAGATTAAAAAAAAAAAAGGCTCAATTTCTTATATAAGAAGGACGTAATAGTAGCAAGAAAAGAACACCTTAATAAAACCATCTTTAGATAACCAAAGCTACAGTAGCATTGAGCAGAAGCCAGGCACTTAGGAAATGATCATTCAGATCATTCATGTTGTAATTTCTTGTAATTAGTAGCCACTACTAGCTATTCGACCATTGTAATTTTCAAATTCTCATGATGAAAATTAAGAATACTGTGATGAAAAGTATACTCCTGCTGTATGGCCAAAGATTGGTGTTAAGAAGTTGTATCTTTCATGAAGGATGATCAAGTATAATCCAGGCCAATAGGGAAAAGTTTCCACTAGATGATTGCCCAGCACACTGTAGACATACAACATTAGGTTTAGTAAGTGGATGATTCTTCTACAAAAAGCACATTCAAGTTTCAGATCACCACTGGTAGGCATTTACCACTGGATTTCAGATACCTGCTAAAACCAGGAGTGTATGTAGGAAACAGTCTTCTCTATGTATTGTGATGGATAATATTCACATATTGAAACCTGGAACTGAGTTTAGCTTTTTTCTATTTGTGTATTTATATGTATCCTTTCTACTACGGTTAATAAACCTCTAGAATACATGAATCTAATTTTTATATATCCACTTATTCGCTCAGTGTGTATTTACTGAGTACTTGCTATGTGTCAGACACGATGCAGAGTGACAGGGATTTATTCATTCATTCAACACACAAATTGTCTACTATGTCCAAACACCATTCTAGATTCTAGACGTAGCGTGAACAAGATAGTCATACTGCCCTTTGCAATTCTTAAGAAGCACTTTACTGTCAGCATTTCTAACGATTTTTTTCTAGTTGGCAGAGGAGAGCCCCAAACCTTGAACTTTTATTTCTTGGTTCTCCACAGACCCTGGTGAAACAGTTACTGTCTTAATTTGTGATTTCTTGAAGTGGTACATAACTATATAGAGTTTATATTTTAAAGGATCAACAGATTTGAAAGTTACTTGTGTAATGACAAGATAAAGTACAGGCAGAATAATTAGAACATAGTTTTCACCATACTCAATTTGAGACTGTTTCTCCCTCTCTCTCAGTCTCCTTCTCTCCCTCCCCCCCTCTGCCTCCCACACTCCTTCCCTCCTCACTTCTCCATAACACTTATCTGAGCCATAGACTTTTCATTCACTTCAAAAACTTCTCATCTTAGGTCACCACAGTGAGATGTACTGCCAGGAAATAAACCAACCCTTGGAAATAATTGAGAAAATTAATACATAATATTTTTCTAAAAAACAGTAGGCACTCAGAACATTTCAGATGGTTCTAAAGGTGAAGATAAATTTTTATGTTCAAAAAGCAAACAATCACATTGGTTTGAACTACATTTGGAAATGGGTATTAATAAGGACAAAAAATTCATAATTTCAGCATACTCTGAAACTTTTTCTCATATACAAACTAAAAGCTTTGATATGTGGTTGATAAACTTAGAAAATTAAGTTGGTTGAACTTTCAGGGTACCAGTTAAAAAAAAAGGAAGTTTTGAAAAGTATAGTGAAGAGACTATTTTATATTGACATAGAGTCTATACTTTTTTAAAACACTAAATATACAGTAAATTATTATGCTTACTTTGCCCAACAGATACCTGAAGAGTCCCACATAGAGAACTGTAGAGCTGCACTGACCAGTAGGATACTCATTTTTAAATTGCCTACATCAAGAATGCGGTGTTGGTTCTATCGTTGATGGGCGGTGATCTGTCTGCTAGCACATATTTTGTTTTAGTTGACATTAAATAACCTGTCTCTGAGAAACACTTCTTATAAAGGAAGCAGCTCTAACACTGGAGAATTCTCTTCAACTGGTGTGCAATATCAAAGATAGTGACAAAGAGATGAAGAAGAACGTCAAAAAATATTAAGGGATCATTTCAACCTTTTGACATTTTGATGAAATCAAATCACTCAAAAACTAATCAGTACTGCTGATAAAACCTAAACGTTTGTTTGTAACAAGCCAACTGGTACTGTTTTCTTCTTTCAGTTAATCACTGGACTATGTTGAATCATGAGATATAGTAATGTTCTCTTCTGTGTTCTGGGTTATGTGAAACCTTATTTGTGAAGGTGTGTTTTGTACCAAAGGCTCTCCTACATAGATTGGCCCATTTTACACATAAATAAGTGAAGTCTACACTGTGCCCAGATGAATGGTATTAAACAGACTGGCCTACAAGAAATGTGCCTTGCTTGATTAAACATCCTTTTATTTTTTGATTCAAAATGATAGATTTACAATTAGTCTCATAGATAGGTTTTAGCTGAACATAAATTTAAAAATATATTAGTACTTAATATATGTTTAAGTTATCTATTTTAACTGAAATTTTAATATTTAGTTATAGTTTTCAGCAGTTCCTATATAATATACTCATTCAAGTTAGTTTTCATGCGCTGTTTGGTGTGGTGACACAAAGCACATTCTTAAAGATATAATATTTCATCTAATGTTTATAAAATTTCCTTCAAAATTATATCTGTAAAAGTTTTCTTGACTCATTTTCTATTTTTGTATTTTATTCCTTTAGAAATGGAAGTTTTCCAATAAAAAAAAAGCAAAGTTTTAGTTGGAAAAGAGATTTAGGAGGTCATGAAGATGATTTCCCATTTGGGGACATTTCACTTCTGTGCCATTATTAATGTATTTACTGTGACATTTCAGCAGAATGGTAGCTATTTGTATATTATTTAATAAGCCTTATGGAAAGTCAAACTGTGAACACTTGGTATAATGAAGACTTTTTTTCATTTTCATATTTTATTTTTGAAACATACCTGAACAAATGCGTAAATAACCAATTTCCTGTTATTCAAGGGCATAATGATGCTGTTATAATAAGAGGGCTTGTAGAATTTTAATAACTATAAAATATTTCAGTAGCAAAGCCAAGACTATAAATACTTTTTGATGCCATGTAGAAGGAAATACAGGTGATGAATTTCATTGTTAACGTATAAGAATAGGTAACTGAAACAGTGTTATAGCTATTAGCAGCAACAGATGGGTTGGAGATACAATCCAGGTAACTTTCTTTGAGGCAATGTCTACAATGAATTCTGTACAATCTGCTGGTATTTTTTCTGTGATCAAAATTTTGAGACCAAATCTCTAGGCAAAAGTGAAGTAAAAGAGTGATAAGTATCTCAGATTTGAGCTCTGTGAACCTCCCATCTGGATGATTTGTAATTAAAGTGAAAACATAGCCAAAGCCACCACCATGTTTTTATTCTGTGTTAGCCCACATAGGAGGGACACAGGCCCAGGAAATAGTCAATCCATTCTAGCCACCTAACACTCATAACTGATGATCACAGACTGTTCAACAGTAAAGTAATTCACATCAGCTATTGGGATGATTGAAACAAACCAATTAACTGTCCTGTGAGAGGTCTTAGACATTCATATGTTTCAGTAAGGATCAGTAGGCATTACAAACATAGACATAAGTTTGTTACCTTCAGGAAACACCAATGACACAACTTTAAGCATTATGTATACTTAATATCATATCTGCATTATTATTACAGGCCACAGTTTCAAACAAAGACAAAACCTGGACTTTGCAATAAAAGCACAGATTGGCACCAGATGAGGAAACTGTCATATCCAATATGGTTCACCAAATGTGGAACAAAAATATAGCATTGGTCTAGATATCATGAGACCAGAGTGCTTATCCACTTTCTACCTGTGGGACACTAGATAGGTTACTTACCATTGCTAGACTTCAGTTTCCCGAATTCCGAGGTGGGTGTGCTGGGTTAAATAATCCCCAAAGCCCTTTCCCAGCCTCCAAATCCTCATTTATACACATTTGAAAAGGCTTTGAAGAATACTTAAAGTACTCAGATTTCTTATGCATCTCAGAAGGAAAGACTTATTGAAATAAAATTTAAACCTTGAAAGTGTCATCAATATACCATTCTTCAAATTGAGTGTGAGAAGAGGAAATAGGATTTTTTTCTCCTCTAAGAATTTTCACTGGCCTATAATGGGATCACGAAAAAGTAGAAAAATCACTCTGCAGAATGGGAACAGATTAACGAAATTGCTGGAAAGGAGGGGAGGTTATTTGTTAAATGTAATTAGATGTTAATGTGATTTGAAATTGTATATGAAATGCAGTACCAGAGCTTTACTGCACACTCAACATTATAAACCCAGAGTAGAAGATGGGGAAAGGTTGGAGAGATGGAAGTGTTTACCTTATGATCTCTTGATTTTTTTTTTTTTCGTGAGAGGCGGTTGGGTAGAGTTTAAGTGGGGGTCTGTGCTTTAGTGCTGGTTCTGCTCATAACTCTTGTACCCTAGGAAATTCCCTTTGACCTCTCTGAGCCCCAGCTTCTTTAGCTGTACAATGAAGACTTTAAATTTAGTAATCTGTCTGTTTTACATCTTTGAAAATTCTATAACATTTTCAGAATGTTCTGATACACATATACGTGTACATGTTGTTCCCCTCCAGTCACTAAGATGCCACAGATCTCTGCTCACATGACTGAACAGACTGCCAATCCAAACATTCATATTTCTAATTGACCCTCAGCAAGACATAAAAAAAAAGTAACTTTTAATTTTGACCATGGCTTACCTATTATGACTTACATTTCATCTTTGAATGTTGAGTTTATCTAAACAAAATTTCTGTTCCAGTGAACCTTCTGTTTAAATTTTTGTAGTTTAATAAACACTTAGCAAACCAGAATTAAGTATATTATGCTTGCCAATGAACTGTAGCTGATTGCAAGGGGGATTTTTGTCACATTAAGAAGGTAATGCTGTTTTAGTCCCAGAATCAATGGCTTTAATTTGAAGTAACAGTCACAAAATTTGGTAAATTTTCGTGAATACAGAAGAGGCCTGATAGAGCCATATTGTAATTAATTTTGCTCAGGAGTGAGAAACAAAATTCAGGGATAACCCAAACGCTTCTGTTTGGCTTTTGTGGACAGTTGGAAAAAGAACGGTTATAGCTTTTGTACAAAATAGATAAGAGATAATTGTACCCATTGAAAAATAAGAGTATATTCTGGTTGCTGATTTTGTGGTAGAAAGAGATAAGGATAGAAATATGCTAAAATATGGACACTAGGGAAATTATTAAAATGATAGTCCATTTGAGTAATACAGAAATATTTTGTCATAATGAGATTATTTGTCCAGAGGTTTAGTCTTATATCCTTCCATTCAGAAAAGGGGGCAGTTTTTAAAGGCCTCTATCATAATAGGAAATGTATATTTTAACTAGCCGAGCAATTCATTAAAACATTTAATCTGATGATTTTTTGGTTTTGTGAATTCACTTTAGGTGTAATTGAGTCTCTTACATATTCGTATTAGTGATATTTGTGAAAAGTAATTTTATCCATTTTCTTAAAGTTGATGAAATTTGCTCAGTGGTGATTCTAGCAAATTGTGTCAATATTGTATCTTGCAACCATTTGTGAACTGACCATACAGAAACAAACTATAGTAGTATCTCTTCCAGTAAATTGTATCCATGGCGTGATCTCTTAATGCTGGGTTTGGGGTGGGAAGGTTAAGTATTTAGTTTATTTAAAACTAATTGTCAAAGTGTTTTTCCTATATGCCATAAAATTGTATGATTATAAACCAAATAGTAATATACTTTTCTTTTTTTCAGTTTAGGCCATTTTTGGAACTACCCCATAATATGGTATAATTTTGGTTATAAGTTCCTACAAGGGAAAGCAAGCAGTGTATGTAGTATTTCTATGTCATATGTTAAATGTAATAATAACAGTAATCCCTTTTTGAAACCTTAGATAGTAATCATGCAGATATCCAAATACAATTTTTTCATAGCTATGTCTAACACTTGTTTATTATGTCATACTTTGCAAAGATCCTTCACATCTTATTTAATCTTTAAAATATCCATATGAAGTGATAATACCATCTGAAGTTTAGAGATTAAACAACAGATCAAGTGACATGCCCAAATCATATGGCCAGCAAATGGCTCCAAATCTTATTTTCCTTACCCTCTTCTCCCTCTGTCATGTTCTTTTGCCCCCATAATTGCCATTATGTTTAAAACTTTACTAAAATCTAATTCTAAATAATATGTTGGGAAGTTTTAGGTTTAGAGGACAAGGTATTTTTTGCTCTTGTCAGACCTTCTTAGATACTTCCAGAAGATAGTCCTCACACAGCGTGAGAGCCAAACATTTTCCATCTAGAACATATTAAGTCCACAAATCCTGACCACAGACACCAAGTCCATGTGATGTCAAAATGCTAAACTGAAAAGTTACCTTCTTCACTGATGTAATTTCCTTTTTATAAAACCTACCATAATGACTGAACAGTTGAAAGAAGCAATAACCCAAGAAACAGCAGCTATTCTGATTCAGGGAAAACATACTTTCAGACCGACCGGAGTCACCGACTTTCAGCCTGTTGTTTCCCATCACATGTATTCTGTGCTTAGCAGAAGACAGGCAAGGGGGAGTGGGTAGAAAAACTGTCCTCATTTTAAGTAAACTCCTTATTTCTTGTAACTATTCAAAAAGAATTTGTTATCAAATATTAGATAACTGTATCATTACCATTTAGCCACAGTTCAAATACACAGTAAAGTTCATCCACATATTTATTTTTTCAAAGATTTTATTTATTTATTTGAGAGAGAATGAGAGATAGAGAGCACGAGAGGGAAGAGGGTCAGAGGGAGAAGCAGACTCCCCGCTGAGCAGGGAGCCCAACGTGGGACTCGATCCCGGGACTCCAGGATCATGACCTGAGCCTAAGGCAGTCGCTTAACCAACTGAGCCACCCAGGTGCCCTCATCCACATATTTAAAAATTAGGTAATTTCCTAGATAAAATTAAAATCTGATGACTGCTCAGTTTGAACATGGAGAAGATTCATGTGTTAAAACCATGACAGAATACAACATTTTTATTCTTTTTTTAAACAACAGAGAGGCACTGTTACTGCTTTCCCTTGTAAATCAACAGTCTGTGATACATTCTGTACTTTTACTGACTAGCAATGCAGTGTTACTGTGCATAATTAAGTAGAACATATGCTATGTTATATTGGAATTTAAAATTTTCTAACCTTAAATTTAGTTCTCTTTATCAAACAGATAAGTCAAACAAGTATTATTTTGTATGGAATGAAATAATAATAAATCTTAAATAATGGCATAATAACAAATAATGGAATTCTGAATAAAATAAAATCACTTTTTTCTATATTCATCTTTCGATATTGAATTATGTTAATTTATCGCATATTAATGTAAAGTTTAAATAAGTTCTTATGCCATGTTCTCTAATGTTCTTGTCATAATAAATTTGAGCCTTCTGTTGAGTAAATACAGTAAATACCTGTGAGTTGATTATGTGATGTTTTTATCTGATCCATTTTTTAAGATTTGTCATTGGCTTTAAAGTGTTTTCATTGCAAATGTTATGTGCAGAATTCAATAAATACAAAAAAAAAAATCCCGTTACTCATATGAATTAGTTCCAAACTCTCTTTTCTCTGTCTGCCTATCTGCCTTTTCCTGTTTTATTTTTGCAAAAGAGGAAACATCAAAACCTGGGCTATTATCAGCAGCATAAACATCATCAATCTTTAGGGACTGTTCTGTGTCTTCCCACATGACTATAAAGTGGACTTCTGGGTATTACACTTAGCAAGTCTTGTGGATGCCAACACATGGCCTGGGTTTCTTCCTTTGCTCCCTACCATACATTGTTGAGGGCCCAGAAGAATCTCAAGGAAGAAAAAAAGTATTTGTAATAAGCCTGTACCTTCATACTTTGTGTCTGTTATATGAAAAAATTGAAGCAAAGCAAATGTATGAAGGTGGATACAACAGTGCCCCTGCTCTCAGACACCTTAGAGTCTAACAGGTGATGTATAGAAATATTTCTAAACTTGTAGGTTAGGATTCTCATTATTAGATCCAGAACGGTCAAGTGTTAAATAAGCACATTTTGTCTGCGATGTGTATTTGTTGTTATGTCCAGTATTTTTTTTTGTACCATGACAGACTATAATTTCTACTAATCAGCCTGTGCATACCCATTGTTCTTATTTTGTGCTTAGCAATGTTGATCTTAATTCTTTTTCCTAATAGCAGCTAGTTACTCAAAAGTGTTTGTGCTTTTGGAATGTCAACACATGCTATATCACCAAAACAGAGGCCCTCTTGTTCCCATCTGGAATTTTACTTTGTCTTACCAAAAAAAAAAAAAAAAGTGCAGATTTAGGCTGCCTTACACATGTAGTAAATAGCTTTAAAGAGCAAAACATATTTTTCTAAGCCTCTGGTTAATATAAGAAAGAACTGTTCTTAAGATTTCTGGTCATGCAGTTTTGGTGGTGGACTCCTGAGCCATAATTTGTATTTCATGTTAAGGAACTAAATCTTTAAATCCTTCTCGAACATTTACAGAGTGAATTAAGAGATGCATGATTACAAATATCCTCTTTGAATCATGCCTTCCTCCAAGAGAATTCTCACTTTTCTATTGGACTTAGCAGAAGCAAATTAGTACATAATTATTATTGCTGCACACCTTCTGTGGGTTAGGGCCCACTCAATCCTCAGTTCTCTTTCCTGTACTTTCTTTTGCATTATAACCTTTATCAATATTGTGCCTTTCTCTCCCTTAGGCCCATTTATCATGTATTTATAAGTTCCATTAATCATAGCCAAATGAATTACATTATTTTTTTTAATCCTTCTTCATTCTCTCTAAATGGTACCTGATAACTTGAGCCATGGCAGAGGAGAAAAAGCCAAATGAAGAACTAAACCCTCTGTGGATGACACTGTCTTTTAAAATTTAAAGTCAGTGAAATCATTGTTTTGGAAATGAAGCCACAAGAGGAGAAACAAGGCAAATAACCCAGAAATCTGATTTCAAAGCATACCACTGCCAAGGAAATGAGTGTATGTGGATAGTCCCTCACCCGTGTCTCGTCCAATTTGGCAAAATAAATGTTTTTAGATGAAGATGAAGAATACAAGTTGATTCATAGGCACATCTCATTAACCTTTACAATGTTGGTGAGAAGTAGATGCCAGGTATTACTGGTTTAATTTATACCTATTATTCCTGCTACAAAAACAAACATTTCCACATGACCCGACTCTAAAAGCAATCAGGGACCGCATGAGGGAAGTTAATCCAAGGACCAAATAGGAATCCGGAAGCCAGGGTCAATGATGATAAGCATACCTGATGTCTTTAGTTTTCATTTGTCTCTCCAGAGATGCTGAGGAACTCCGCAGAGGAGAACGCTTGTGTTGCCTTTTGGTTTCTGGTGATGGAGATGGAAATCACTATGAGAGAGAGGAACGTGGCGTTCATAACGCGGATGCAAATTTTTGAGGCAGAGTTAATTTTTGCTTTATCATCTCTGGAGGCAATTTATAAAGCTGTTTGAACTTTATATGTCTGGTCTTGAGAAAGTAATGAGTTTGTGATTTTAATATGCTTCTCCCTCCAGGCACTCTCTACACCCGCAGGAATGCGCTGCACTCAGGCCGAGCTCTCAACACGTGTAGTCGACTGGAAGGAACCTGGCAAACAGTACTCCAAGGTCCATGCTCTACATGTATGTGTAGTTAGACAGGATTAGACAGCTCTGCGGGGCACGCCGCACAGGCAGCCCACATCTTCTGCATGCCTGGAGTATAAAGTAATAGGGCCTTACTGCTGTTCTGGGCTTTACAATATTCACAATGTTTTAAGTAGATATAGGTCGATTGATGTTTAAAAGCAACCTATAAAATCTGTAATCTGTTAAATAGGCAGAGAAGGTATTATCACACTTTTTACAAATGAAGAAATTAGATGCATAGTAACGCAGTTTGTCTAAGGTCATGTGATCAGGACATTTCAGAAAGTGACTAGAATCCAAAGTTTTCCGACTCCTGATCCAAGGGGCTTTCATGCACAGCCACATTCTCCATCCCTCGCTACCCCTGCTGTCTCAGATTCTGGCTGCCCTAACAGTGAGGCATCTGAGGAGTTATCCTCAGGGTATCTTGAAGAAGAGCAGAAGGAGGGCTTTCCACTGTACTTGTCCTACACCATTCAAGCTGGCAAGCCTCATCCTGCCCAGCGCGCTCGCAAGACCCAATCCTCTTACCTGAAAGTGAGACCTCAAGAGAAATAGAAACCTAAGCTCTGCAAAGTGACTCAACCACCATTCCATGAGTTTATTCATTTATGATTCAAAAAATATTTATTTGGTGCCTCTTATATGCCATTTCTCCCTCTCACTTCAGTGGAAATGGTGTCTCAACCTCCGGAGCTCTGGTTCATCCCGTTCAATTTCCTCCCAAACTTGACTGCATCAAATATTGTCTTTCTTGGCTGTGGACTCAATACCTCCCCATGCTGAGATGTTGGATTACTTCGAAAATGCTTCCTCCACCATGTGTCCATCTCCAGCTCTCTTTGCCCCCTTTCCATTCAAAGTCAATCTTTTCAGACAGAAGTGGTATCTGCTCCCCACCCCTCATTTATTTGACATTCCACTATCATGTCATCCCACTGTCATCTGGCTTCTGTCTACACCTCCTCACTGGATAGTCCCCCACTTCTGGTTTCCTTGTCAGCCTTTAGTTCTTGCCCTACCCGATCTTTGTAGAATCTGATGCCATTGACCCCTCCCTCCTTCAGTTTTGTGGCACTGTCCTTCTTCTTACCTCTTTCCATCTCTTCCTAGTCATGTTCACTGACCTGTCTTCCTCTTGTCACTGCTTAAATCCTGCTGCTCCCCAAAGTTCTGATCTCAGCCCTCACCTCTCAGAGTCTAAATTCTCCCCCCGGGTTATCTTAACCAATACCTTAGTTTTAAGGGCTTCCCTAGATCCTTCTCTTCAGCCCAGATCTAGTTCCCAAGTCCTATTCTTACTGTATCCAGATATCAGTTGCTTTCTCAGCCAGTCTTCTCCTCCCTGTTCACATTCTCTTCTTAGAGAACCTGCAACCCACAGTCTAGAAGGGACAGCTCTGGAACCCACATAAACCCATTCTCTGTCCACCAGTGGTCACCCAACCCACACTGAGCCAATTAGATTGTCTCTCCCTGGAATTCGTAATTGAGACTTGAAGATGTAGAGGCAGAAAAAATTAAGCAGAGATCTAGGTTTTGTGGACTTGAGCCAAGGTCAGGCTCTTGACAACCCTAAATCCACGTAATCCATGTTCTGGTGAAGCAGTACTAAGCCTAGTAGAGAAGCAAAGAGAATGAAACGGAGATAAAGTAGAACAATAGGACTGCCTCGGGGAAAGACAGGTAGCAGCTACAGACAAACTTCCAGTATGTGGGAGCCCCAACTCTACCCATTGCCACTGGGTTCAATGAGATTCTTCTACAACCTTCCCACATCCAGGATTTTGTTTGCCAGCCTTATGGGATTTTCTGACCCACGCAATTTATCTTTTGTACACCAATCTCTTTGATAGAACTATCTTACTGGGTGGTCTCCAGGCTATCCAAGGTACCTCACTGTCAACATGTCCATCCCAGAGTGACTCACTTTCCACACCCAGCACCGCACTGCACCCTAACTGTATTTCATAATCTGGGGAATGGAACCACTTTTCCTTAATGCTGCTATTTAGAAGTCTGAGGATCATCTAATCTCAGACTTCTCCTTCTCGCTCATTCTTTACAGCCAATAAATTCTTGCCACAACTTCCTCCACCCTTCCGCCTCTGAGTTGCTTCTGTCGTCTTGTAATTTCTTGCCTATTTTGCTGCCGTAGCCTTGTAAATGTTTCCGACTACAGCCAAAGTGATCCCTGGAAACCAAAAATATGCTGATGACTCTCCTGGCTAAAATACTTCAGTGACTTGTCCTTTATCCTTTTAGAAAAAAGCACAAACTTTTTAGCATGACATCCAAGGCGCTTCATCATCTAGCTCCTGTTGAGCTTGCTAACCTCATTCTTTCTCACTCTGTAACAGGTGCTCTCTGCTTGCATCACCCTGAGTTACTGTGAATTCCTTGTATGCAATATGCCCTCTCTTCTACATACCTTCACATCTGCTGCTCCCTCTGCCCACGTGTTTTTTTGCCCCATGCCACCCATCCATGCTCTTCTCCTCAGGCGGGCAATTGCTACTTATCTTTCAAGACTTAACTTGGTGATATCTCCTCTGGAAGACCTTAGTTCAGTGCCCTTCTGATGAACCTTCAATTGACCTCTGTCCAAGAACCTAACACAAAATATAACTGTCCATTCTTCTGTCTCCTTTTCGAAACTGTGAGCAGCTGGAAAACTGACTCTGTGTCCTAGTTCTTGTAGTATTCACAGGGCCGGCTACACAGTGGCTGCTTACTAGACATTTGCTGAACAGATAGGACGCTGAGAAGATGGAATTTTTGTCCTCAAAAACCTCACAGAATTAGTGGGAAATGAGAAAGCCTATGATTAAGGCATGGTGACAAGTTCTACACCACGTAGGCTCCAGGTACTAGGAGAAAGATGAAAAGGACAATTAGCCCAGCTCAAGGGCTTTCTGGAAAACAGAAGTTCAGGCTTGGTAAGTAAGTAGAAAGAACTGAGTGAAGCAAATGAGGAGGGGGAAGGGTGTTCAGCTCCTTGCAGCCCGGGCCAGATTACTTGTCCTGCACAAATTGCAAAAGCTGCTACACATTGAGATACTGCTGATGAGAGGCTCTCAACTCTAGATTCGTAAAACAAATGCACTCCGAGGAAAGGAGATAGTTGTCTTAGCAGTGGAAAAACCTTAAAAAAACAAGTCAAAGTTTCGCAGTACTTAAAAATATTTTGGATTCATTAAAGCTCTAAATACATCTCTTTCTTGGAAATTTTCCCTCTTAATTTTGAAACACATGGGTCGTGTTGAGGAACTTAATCTGTACTTTCAAGTCAGCCACACTTACCTCATCCTGTTGCTGTTTTAGAAGATCTGTTTATTATTACAGGAACCTTCAAGGTCCTTATTGTAAGCTTTCAGACTTAGAAACAGGAAATCTGATTTTATCTCTAGGGTAGTTTTAACCTCAGCACTTAAACATTCCAGTAGTTACTTCAATCTCTGAGCCTTTGAAGTATTCCACTTGGACAAGAGCTCTTGTGCTTAAACTGTACAGAATTTGCCTGTTGATATCTCTATAAACCCTCAGTCAAAATGATTCCCAGTTCAAAAATATATACACATTCTCTTATTCGTGTGGAATCTGCTGGAAGCAAGCCTACAGAAGGCACCAAACTTTAGATCATTACAATCACTAAGCACCATTCACTTAAAGTAAGAGTTTAGTTACCGATAATTCCAAGCAAACCTCTTAACAAAACTTCAAATATGGATTTTCCTGTTATGATAAAAGAGAAAGAATATAGATTTACTGGAAAGGAAAAACTGACTCTAAAGGTTGCAAATGGGTCACAATCCATATTATTCATTGCAACTCCTTCAGGCCTATTAAAGAAGAATTTAGGGAACCAAAGAGTAAGATATAATTAATGTAACTTGGTGTTGGTGATTTATTCAGTGACAAATTATAAGGCTGCTACTGTAACAGATTTCCACTAGCTCAGAAGGAACAAAGCTCTTCTGTTTTAAGGATGGGTCATAATAGCAATTCTCAGATAAATCTCATTTCATTTTTCCCAATGGTTATATGCCAACTGAGGAGACTTTAATCTGGAATCCTATTTGCGTGGTTTCCATTTGAAAAGACTGTTAACATCTAATGCTGGGAAAAAAAAAAAACCTTTGTATTTTGAAATATATATTACTGTCCATCTCTGTCATATTTGCCCATCTCCTGACTGGGTTGGCACCTACAAGAGTTAAATCTGATATTAAAGGGGCAATTGCCCCCTTAGCTGGCATCAACATCTCTTGATCTGTGGGCCTTTTTTTTTAAAGATTTATTTATTTATTTGAGAGAGAGAGAGAGTGGTGGGGAGATGCAGATGGAGAGGGAGAGAGAACCTCAAGCAGACTCTGCACTGAGCACAGAGGCTGATGATGCAGGGCTCGATCTCATGATCCTGAGATCATGACCTGAGGCGAAACCAAAAATCCGCTCAACCAACTGCATCACCCAGGCGCCCCAATCTGTGGACCTTTTAGAGGGATGATGCATACCTTATTCAATAACCTAGTGGAAGTGACCGTACAATGCTGCCTTGACTAAAAGCGGTAGATCACATGGCTAAAAACCTAAATCTAATTGAGATGATCTTTTTAATGAAAGGAGCATATATAGTCTTACCATGCTCTTTTGAATTATGGTCAATCTTGAATTTAAAGTATACTTCAAATTTTTCTCTCTAATGTCACATATTTCTTCAAAGATTGCCCATTCTCCAAAGTAAAGCTCACAACTACTGGGATTTTTAAATCACACAACTGGTAATTGTGAGTCACTGGCTGATTCATCTTATAAAGTAGCTAAACTTCTCATCTTATAACACGGACCTTTAATTCCTCCACTGGTAATTCAGAAGTGAGCTTGCAGCTGTTATATATCACCATTATTGTTAGTTGTTACAACCATGTCAAGAGTTTTGTTTTGAGGTGTTTTTTTTTTTTAACCAAAGCTTAAACTGAAATAACAGATTGCCAGAGATTTATAGTAGGAAAGCAGTGCTATTAAGCAGGAGTCGAAATTTCAAGTTAATGTTTTAATAATTATGTCTTTATTTGGCTCAATTTCATTTGGGTGTCAGTCCAACAATCATCTCTTCAAAACATTCTGAATAAATCAAACAATGCCTCCCCATCCTAAAATGCCACCCTAAAAATGATGGGCTTTATTGGATTCTAAAAACACTTCAAGAACAAAACAAAGTGAGTAACCACACTTGTAAAGCAAGAGGAAAGTGCTTATATAATGCAGTCGGAGCACCTCTGAGCTTTCTGGCCAAAAAGGCAGACAATTGCATACAGCTTTACTTGACTTCCTTTGTCAAAAAGATCTCAGAAAAAAAAAGAGGCTTCTAGCTTCCACTGGTCGTTCTTAATCTCATTCCTTCATGAGGGCCCACCCAATATTAATATTGGGTGATTCCAGCTTTGTATATGGATAAGAAATGGGAGGATTCCCTTCCTCTAAACCCACAGCTCTGTTTTAGGTCATCTTTGGGAAGAGCTGGACTCAAAAACCTAATCTTGCTACTAAATGGTCCCCGAGAACCAGCGGCATCAGCATCACCTAAAAGCTTGTTAGAAATGCAGAATCTCAGACTCCACCCCAAACCTACTGAATTACAATCTGAATTTTAATAAAATCATAGGCACATGAGAGTTTAAGAAACACTGCCATCAGAGGGCTACTACATCACCTCACTCAGAGACTTTCCACCTGCGAGCCATCAGAGTGGCTGAACGATATTTTAAATTCAAATCAGATTTAAGCTAAAATAATCCACCTTGCTTCTGTATAAATTTGTTTTTATAAAGTCCAAAAACACCATGGCGAAGAATGAATGTTTTCATTCGTGAACACTAAGAATAGAAAAGCTACTATATCTTTCCATTGGAATCAGATTCTACTTCTCAGTGCAGTCTAAATGTTTCATTCCATAACGAAATGGCCCTCTACCAAACCTCTTCCTCAATAGATATAAACCCTTGTTAAAGCCCCAGGTTTGAGCTAGTCTTCATTAGTGTTGATAAACTGGTAAAATAGTAGTTTTCATGTATCAAATGCTGATAATCAATGACAGTAAACACTTTACCAGGCACTGTTCCAAGTCTTTACCATATTAACTTATTGAATTCTCAAAACAACCCTAAAAGACAGATTCTGTTATTATTGTCCCCATGTTAGAGATGAGGAAGCTGATCAATGGAGAGGTTAAGTAACTTGCCTTGAGGTTGGCAGAGCTGGGAGTTGAAGCCTACTCTAGAGCCCAGACGCTTAGCCATATTATCACCAAATGCCTGGGGTACGATATCTCTGCCCCTCACAGCAGTCCTACAAGGTAGATAGGAGTATACAGTTGAGAACACTGAGGTCTTAGAGCTGGTAAAAGATGAAGCCTCTGTGTTATCCCCCCATGATTCCACACTAGCTTTGAGCCACCTTCCATATTGCAAATGCCAACTATTCCTAATAGGCTGGCTCTATCTCAGCTTGGTGCAATCAGAGCCCAGGACTTCAGTTCCCTCTGTCAGTGTAACAAAGGTAAGAACACCTTATCTCATGCCTCCTCCCCTCAAGCCAAATTCAACATGTATATTTTATATGTATCCAGCATGATATATTTTACAAAGCTTGGGTGTTCAGCCCTGTCCACTGCGGTTCTTCAAGTATACAGGTCAAACCCTGGTCCTGAACACATATGTCTACCAAAGTGCTTGCCCTGGACGGCCCCCTCACTGCTGGCCTCCCTGGAAAGCCATGTTTTAGTCATTAGTGTTCTGGTCAGACAGGAAACCTCCTTTGCAGAGCTGCGGTGGAGGGGACTGAAGCTTTGCACACTCTAAATAGTGATTTTATTAAAATGTAGAAAAATTGTTGAAAAACAGAAAAGAGGTGGGGATAGGGGGTTGCCACGGCAACTCAGCCCTCCCTCAGTTTTCAAAGAGCAGGGAAGACTAAGGAATAGTAAATAGAGAAAAGGAACTAGAGGAAGTCTGAGTGACACGTGATCACAAATGGAATGAGACAGATCGGGAGAGACGAGACAGAGACGAGTTTCAGACTGAGTGATGAGCTGGGAAGCAGAAGGTGGGCCTCACGAGGGGATACCCTTCCTCAAAGTGCAAGGAGCCTGGCAGAGGTAAATCTTTGTGATCAGCTTTACCACATGGCTCAGCCACACAGGTCAGCAAGCAACATGGCGTCGACAAATGATTTACGGAGAAATGAATATATCTCACAAGGAAGCAGGAATTCTCCTGCCATCCTCCAGAGAACTATCCCCCATGAACTCTGTGCATGTTTTTAGATACTGGTTCTGGAAACACCATGCCTCATCCCCACCCCTTACTACTGGATTGTTGATTTCCTCCAGGCAGATCAAGAAAGATCAGGACTGTCGGGAGCTCCACCCACTCACTAGACATTAGATAAATTCATATATAACGAATCCAAAATATATTATTGCGGGAACCTAGGATAAAAGGATAACTTTTATTCATCACTTTACAGGTTACCGAGTACTTTCACACTCATCTGATGCATGGGAGACCAGCCTCAGCAATCTGGGATTACTCCACCCTACAGTAGCCCATGGAATTCAGCACAGACTGAAATAAACTGATTACACCCACTGCACCCAAGAATTTCCCATCTCTCCTGGTGAATGGAATTAATACTGATGGCTTACATCATCTTCAGTCTGTCTTCATCACACACTGTGACAGCTTAAACGATGCGCTATCCCCACTCATTAACACTTCTGCTTTGGGGGATGGTGGGGAGTGGAGTGGAAAGGGTCAGAGGAGAGAGAGAGAGATGTCCATGTAGATATGCACAAGCAGCTCTATAGCTATTCTGCTCCTGGAGGGGAGCAGTGCTGGAGATAAACAAAACATTGTCCAAGAGTTATTTCTAAGACTTGGAAATGCATGAAATATATTGTAGTGGAGGCTACCAGCAGATGTTTGAGTTAATTTTTAAGTGAGATTGCATTTTCCCCTGCCCCACACACTCTGAAAGATAACAAGGGGAAGCTGGTTAAGGAGAAAGTAGTCTGGGATTAAAAGCTGGCCCCAGATAACCCACAGATCACCTTACAAAGCAGCGAGCCATACCACATACACCTGGGGTACAGTATTCACTCTACTGCTTCCTCACTGGTCAGCCCTCATGCACATGGGGCAGGGCTCAGGAACTCCGATATCGTGACTGAAGGGATGAATGTTGCCAGACAGAAAAGTTGTCTCCCCAGGCAGAGTAAGGGATCCTCAGGCTGGAAAAAAATGAAGCACGAGAACAAAGGTTCTGGGTGATATCAATACATACTTGATCATACTTGATCACCATATCCTAGAAGAACACACACCTGAGCCAAATACTTGGAGAAGTAAGTTTAGTTAACTCCATAGACATTCAGAATGTACATAGTAGGTCATCATCAGAGAGGAGAAAGCCAACACTTGGAGAAGATAGATCATGAATTTGAACCATACATCAAATCTTTGGGTCTGATGTTCTCAGTATTCCTCTCATTTCTTGAGGTAGAGGCTGGGGAGGAGGGGAATAGATAGTCATTGATTAGAACATTGCTACAAAGTCAAAATGAGAGAAACCTGTGGCTCTGGACTATATATTTGCAGGCTTGGCTGGGGAGTTAAAAAGGGGCTCCAATATTCACAAGTGCAAATTGGGAAGCCACAACTTGGTTGGGTTTCCTGTACTGAAGTCAGCCATGCAGTGGTGCAGTGGAATCCATTTCTACCAGTTATGGAATGCTGCCTTTCCCTAATTTTGTCATCTCTCCCTACACACACACACACACACACACACACACACACACACACACACACACGTACTTCTGATATTCCCTAATCTCCCCCTTCTCTTCCCTTTTCTCTTTTGTGAAGTCACACGCAATCTTTCACCTCTACATCAGCTGCATTCATCTATCCAGGGCAAGTGTTAGCATTTGTCCAGCTAAATCCCAGGGCCCTGACTGCCCAACTACTCCCTCCAAGACTGCACTAACAGACAGCCAAGAAAAGCTTACTGTAATGATAACCGGTATTTACAGAGCACCTGCTTACAACGTGGAAAGCACCGGCATAATAGCTCTCACACATTCTGATTCCTGAATATCTCATCCAGTCCTTACAACAATGCAACAACCTTGTGAAGTGTTACCATCCCTTTTACACGGATGAAAATCTGAGACAGAGAGGGGTCAGTAACTCTCAGAAAGTCACAGCGCTGGTCAAGGGTGGGGTTAAAGAACCATGAGCTGCTTCCCCTTTGCCTGCCCAGCATTCTGAATATATTTGATATCATCAATAAATTTATTATTTATTGAAAAAGAATAAAATTAAAATATTTTAACTGATTCAGCATTTAGTTCATAACCAGGCAATTCTATTTTGTAATTAATCTCTGTTTTCTCAATGGTGAGTTTATATATGCCGTCTCCCACTCACTTCAATTTCTTCATCTCTGGTGTCCGGCAACCATCCAGCCATCTTCTCTTGTTCTCTTTTCTGATCTTAATGTCCTGCATTACAAAGGGAGGCGGGACAGGGTGAGCTCAGCCGTGCGTCTCTTCCTTTAGTCTACAAAGCCTCTCCGGTTTCTCATAACTCTTTGAACTGCCTCTTCCTTGCACTACCTCACTCTCTCACTCCTTACTTTCTTTTATTCTTAAACGTTTGGTCCTCACATAGTCTGTTCTTTTTCAATAACCAACAATTATTTGGACCCTGTCAATATGGCACCATCCCAGAACTGTACGTAGATGGCTCTCAGAGGTCACTGGCAGCCTCCAACAAGCCTTTTCTGGGGTCTTACCCTCTTGACGTCTCCATTTTCTTTTTTTTGGCTTCTATGACACTGAACTGCCTTGCTTCTCCTCATTAGTATTATTCCTCTTTAGTCTTCCTCATGGCTCCTCTTCATCTGCCTGTCCCATTAGTGTTCCGTCACCAAAGTCCAGCCTTAGTCCTCCTTCCTTGTCCTACAGTCCCTTCCTGGGCCATGATTCATTCCCATGGTGTCACTCTCTTTGAAGATAGCTCCCAGATACCTCTCCCTGTCCTTAGGCTCTCTCTTTGGTGCCTCCATTTCCAACAGTCTGCAGGTCATTGCCACTGGGATGACTCACCAGCATTTCCAACCCAAACTGTCCAAACAGAGCAATTTCTGCCTTTTACTAAACCAGCGCCTTCTTCTGACTTCCCTATTTCTAGCAAATATCACCATGCCCTCAGTCACCCGGTTAGAAAATTATGTTGTAATCTTTGATTCTTTCATCTTCTTCACCCACTATATTCTATCAGTTTTAAAATATAAAAGGATTTGACCTCTAATATCTCTTATGACTACCCCATTCGATGGCCCTCTGTTACCTGTTGACAAAGTGCCAAGTCTCACCCTGGCTTTGCATTTCCTCTCTACATTGGTAACCCAAACCAACCCTTCTTATTCCAGTTTGTTTCAACCAAATTAGATTCTTCCCTGTTCTCAAATACATGCCAAAATTTCCTGCCTCCTCTGGTCCATGCTGTTCTTAAAACCCTCAACACCTTCCCTCCAATACCCACAAGTCTTTCCTAACCTCCCTACCCACAACTTAATGAGTCTTCCTAAGTTTCTGTGGTATTTTTCATGGTCTATTCTTTGTTTTTATCTGTCTATTTGTTTCACCTCCTGAAGTAGACTGTGGATTCCATGCCCCAAGTATCTCTGTTTTCCCACAACCCTACATAATGTATGCATGGGAGATTCTCATGTATGTTTGTTGAGTGGAACTGAATTGGGACTCAGTGGCCATGTGGAGAACATCAAGTGGCGAGGACCCTAGCCTCTCCTAAAACCAGGCAAATATTCTCTTAATTGTGCCCATCCTAAAAATGAGCCTCCTTTTCCCCCTATGGCATGAGCACTGCCCATGTTGTCTTGTGCTGTTTTAAGCTTGCACCTGTTTTCCCTTCCTTAAACCTCTGGGCAATCCTGTGAAGTAGATGCTGTAATCTCTATTTTACAGATGAGGAAACTGAAGCACAGAGAGGTTATATGGTGAGTCTAAATTCAAACCGCTAGTATGCAGGGAGCCAGGTTCTCACCCAGACCCTCTGGCTCAGAGCCCATCCCAGACCACAATGCTATAATGAAATGCAGATGCAAAAAGGGGAGATTTTTCCAAAGAAGACATCCAAACGACCAACAGACGCATGAAAAAGTGCTCAACATCACTCGGCATCAGGGAAATCCAAATCAAAACCTCAAAGAGATATCACCTCACACCCGTCAGAATGGCTAAAATTAACAAGTCAGGAAATGACAGATGTTGGCGGGGATGCAGAGAAAGGAGAACCCTCCTACACTGTTGGTGGGAATGCAAGCTGGTGCAACCACTCTGGAAAACAGTATGGAGGTTCCTCAAAAAGTTGAAAATAGAGCTACCATACGATCCAGCAATTGCACTACTGGGTATTTACCCCAAAGATACAAATGTAGGGATCCAAAGGGGTACATGCACCCCAATGTTTATAGCAGCAATGTCCACAATAGCCAAACTGTGGAAAGAGCCAAGATGTCCATCGACAGATGAATGGATAAAGAAGATGTGGTATATACACACAATGGAATATTATACAGCCATCAAAAAGAATGAAATCTTGCCATTTGCAATGACGTGGATGGAACTGGAGGGTATTATGCTGAGCAAAATAAGTCAATCAGAGAAAGACATGTATCCTATGACCTCACTGATATGAGGAATTCTTAATCTCAGGAAAGAAACTGAGGGTTGCTGGAGTGGTGGGGGGTGGGAGGGATGGGGTGGCTGGGTGATAGACATTGGGAAGGGTATGTGCTATGGTGAGCGCTGTGAAGTGTGCAAGACTGTTGAATCACAGATCTGTACCTCTGAAGCAAATAATACATTATATGTTAAAAGAAGAAGAAGAAGAAAAGAAGAAGAAGAAGAGGAAGAGGAAGAAGAAGGAAGAAGAAGAAGAAGAAGAAGAAGAAGAAGAAGAAGAAGAAGAAGAAGAAGAAGAAGAAGAAGAAGAAGAAGAAGAAGAAGAAGGAGAAGAAGGAGAAGAAGATAGCAGGAGGGGAAGAATGAGGGGGGAAAATCGGAGGGGGAGATGAACCATGAGAGATGATGGACTCTAAAAAACAAACTGAGGGTTCTAGAGGGGAGGGGGGTGGGAGGATGGGTTAGCCTGGTGATGGGTATTAAAGAGAGCACGTTCTGCATGGAGCACTGGGTGTTATATGCAAACAATGAATCATGGAACACTACATCAAAAACTAATGATGTAATGTATGGTGATTAACATAACATAATAAAAAAAAGGGAGGGAGAGTTTACTTGTAGGTTTTGATGGTCAAAATCTCAAAATCCACAGCCTGGGTAGGTCTTCCCATGTGTGGCCAGATATGTACAGATGTGTAGCTGATTGTGAGTGTATGTGCAATGGAAGGAGGGATATTCTGCTGTTCAGCAGGTGCTTGTGTATTATTTCCCCAACACAGACTTCCTAAGAGAAGACGGTACCATCCATGACTTTATTCTGCCACCGGAGTCTAATCCAGGGCTTATCATATAGTAGGTGACCCACAGTTTTAGGGCTGAATTATAATTTTATGTATAAAATGCTCAAGCCATGCATCTCCATTAAAGCTTCTGTTGTCTGCCCCACTTCTCCCAGCCTCCTGACACACACCCACTCTCTCTCAGAGCAGGTGCCATTCAGGAGAATGTAAGCAAATCAGCTCTGAATGTCAAAACAGGATTTTACTCAATTATTAATTTGGGAGAACCAGAAGAACAGCAAATACATATCCCAATGAGGTCACACTATGAAGTATGTGAAACCTTCCCAGATCTAATATTTAATTTAGACTCTACTGTCTGGACAAATTTTCAGCTTTCCAGATTTAAGCCAGAGGCCATCAGACATGGCTTAGAATGATAACTCAGCAGTTACAGAGGCCCAGTACAAAGGCCAAGGCTGAATGAAGGGCAGCTTCCCAGGAAGAGGTGCCCAGAGGGCAGAGGCTGAAATGTTTCTCCAAACAGAACAATTAGCTCAAGCACAGGAACCAAAGCCTGAGCCCTGACATCTGGATAAGCTGGGCACGGGTCAGGGCTTGGCCTAAAGATTCTGTAGGTGGCCAGGCTCTGGACCAGCATCAGCCTCCTGCTGCTCCATGTTCTCTTCAGGCCATCTGGAAGGGAGATCCAAGCACATGAAATGCCACCTAGGGCGGAGGAAAGTTGGTAGGTTCCTGACAGATGCTCTCTGGCTGTAACAGTCTGTAGGTGTTGGGGCCACAGTGGATGCCAAAGAGGAGAGGAGAAGAAGAATGGAGGAGTAGAGAAGCAATGAGGGAAAGAGATTCAGGGAGTGAATGCCCCACTCATTCAACTCACCCCATTTCACCTGCCATCCTTGGCACCCATGCCTGTAGCCACCACCTTCTGATCCCAACAGGCTGACTTCCTGTCGACTCCAGACCTAGTGGTCCCTCCCCGTTTCCCCCAAACTTCTGCCCAAGCATATGTGGTACACATGGGTTGTCTCCCTTGTACTTCTATGCTCATGAACTGTAGATCCACTCTCTCCTTTCCTTGGATACCTCCCTAAGAAAGGTTGTGTCTGCTCTCAGCTCAGCATCCCAAGTACATAAAGCTCCTAGAGTCAGGAAATGCATGAAGGCTTAGGACACAGAAACAAATCTTTCAGTCACCCCACATTGTTTCAGCAGGGGACTTCTCAGGGCCTGATGGGAACCAGCCACCAAAATCTCTCTCATCAGACTTTCTGAAGGGCACTCATACTGCTCAAGCCTCACCCAGAGGGAGACCCAGGTCCCAGGCAGGTCCTGACATCCTGAAGGCTCTATCACAGAGCTAAGCGATCAGATGGATTTGGCTGCCCTGGGACTGCTCACTCTGCAGAGCTGACTGATGAGCCTATGCCAGCTACTGAGGGAGGAAATGCTGCCAGTGAACACAAAGTAATCCTGCAGCAGGAAAGGAAGTGGCAGCTATGGCCGGAACCCCACCTCACTCTGAGCATACAACAGCCTGCCAAGCAGGTGCAAGGTACTCGAGGTAACACATTCTTTTTTTTTTTTTAAGATTTTATTTGTCAGAGAGAGAGAACAAGCAGGGGGAGGACCAGGCCCCCTGCTGAGCAAGAAGCCCGATCCCAGGACCTTGAGATCATGACCTGAGCCAAAAGCAGATGCTTAACCGACTGAGACACCCAGGCGTCCCAAGGTAACACATTCTTTCCTGCTCCTCAAAGTTCCTTTCAGACAAAATCTGATTTTAAAGAGCATCGGGGCAGCCCTAAACCAAAACCTTTGACTTGGCCATTGGGGAGGGCCCAAGGAGAACTGGCACATGACCCATTTATTTCAGAAATCTTTGGTGGCTTTCCTCTTCTCCAGTCCTGAGCTTCTGCAGGCCTGGTGTTGGTGATGGAACCCCAAGGCTTTATGAGACTGTCCCCTCCACTGCTGGACACTCCCAGGCAG